CTGCCAAGAGCTTGGCTGGACCTGCCCGGGGAGCCGGTTTGCAGACCAGCCGAACGATACCTGGGCTGCTGACATCCCCCCTCCCGCCGTGTTTCCATTCCCTTCCCGAGTGTGGGGCAGCACCGGAGGAGGTTGGCAAGATCTCGTAAAAGCGTTCTTCCGAAACACTCCCGCATTCTTCGCATGGCTGCGCCCGGCCCCGCACTTGGGAGGATTCAATACTAACCAGCGTAGCCCCACAGGGAGACAGCGAGAGACCTTGGCAGTGCTAGGACTTACCAACCCTTTGGGAAGGGTGTTATTGTCCCACAAGAAATATTATCCCAGCTGAGATCAGGGCCCCGTTGCGCCAGGCACTGCCCAGACCCCGGCCAAGATCAGGGCCCCGTCACGCTGGGCGCTGCCCAGACCCCAACTGAAATCAGGGCCCCGTCGTGCCAGGCACTGCCCAGACCCCGGCTGAGATCAGGGCCCTGTCGCGCCAGGCACTGCCCAGACCCCGGCTGAGATCAGGGCCCCGTTGCGCCAGGCACTGCCCAGACCCCGGCTGAGATCAGGGCCCCGTCGTGCCAGGCACTGCCCAGACCCCGGCCGAGATCAGGGCCCCATCGTGCCGGACGCTGCCCAGACTCCAGTCAAGATCAGGGCCCTGTCGCGCCGGGCGCCACCCAGACCCCAACCGAGATCGGGGGAGAGGCGGTTAGGGGACAAGGAGCAGGGCGGGTTTAATGGGTCAGGGGTTCTGAGGGGGGCAGTCAGGGGGCGGGAAGTGGGAGGGGGCAGATAGGGGGCGGGGCCCAGGCTGTTTGGGGAGGCACAGCCTTCCCTACCCAGCCCTCCATATAGTTTTGCAACCCCAATGTGGCCCTCGGGCCAAAAAGTGTGCGCCCTCCCCGCTCTAAACACACGAGATGGAATCATTGTCCTGATTTTACAAGTGGGGGTCCTGGGGCTGGGAAAGATGAACTAACTCTCCCAAGGTCACCCAGGGAGTGCGTGGCAGAGACCAGGAATTGCTTGTCCCAGCCCAGTACCTTAACCCCCCCTCTTCAAGACAGCAGGGGAAAGGGATTTGTTCACGCCCATGCAGTGGGTTAGTGGCAGAGCCTGGGAAACCTGCCACTCCGCGGGATCCCGCTCTGCGGAGCAGCCACGCTGCCGGGAGGCACGGTTGGCTCTTTAAGTCTGCTTCCCACCCAGCCTTCTAGAGAGGCTGGAAAATCCACCGGCCGGATCCCACCGTGGCCCCGGACTGCGATGGAGGAAGGCAGGGCCCCGGTGCATAACACTCTCGAAACTGCTGTTTACCTAGCACGGGGCAGACAGGTTTGCCAGAGCCTCTGCCAAGGCCAGCCACGCCCCTGGCCCCAGAACAGAAAAGTAAGAAACCCGAGAAAAGATAAAGAAAAGCCACTGAAGACTTGGATTAGCTCTGTGTAAACGAACCCAAGCCGGGTAAGGCGAAAAGACAAATACTACAGGCGATTAAACAAACACCTATTGACAAAGGGACAAGTTTTGACGGTATTCGGGTGGTGCAGCGCTCCTAAATCCCTTTTGAAAACGAGACTCAGAGTCCTGGATCAGTTAGATGTTGCCACGCCTAAAACCCTTTCAAAACCTGGGCCACGGGGTCTTGTTTGGTAGCTACTGACAATCTGAAAACACACACCAGCCAGACCCAGCGAGATAGCCGGGCGTGTATGGGGAGGAGAGAGAGATGCGGGGTATGGGGATGGACGGATAGATCGATGCACCCATCCATCCGTCCCCATACCTGGCTATCGACCGATTGATAGATGATAAACTGGGGTTGTGAAGAAGCAAGCGAGCTCACCTATCCATGAAGTGTTCTACAAAGCTTCTGTTGCAACCACCTCGTGTTTGTATGGACTTTAATAAGCTCGATGCTGAACTAGTTACCAGCAGCAGAGGGGAAAACCCCCAATGAATAGAAAACAAGGAGAAGAGGTTTTTACCCACGAAAGCTTATGCCCAAATAAATCTGTTAGTCTTTAAGGTGCCACCCGACTCCTTGTTGTTTTTGCAGATACAGACGAACACGGCTACCCCCCAATAGAAAATAACAAAGCGTGAAATCAGCTTCCCTTCCCAGGGGGACGTCGGAAGAGTCACTGTCACACGTCCAGTAACAGCTGAGAGCCTCGTGGCGGGAACGTCTCATTGAGTCCAGCCAGGAGCGTCTGCCTCGGCAAGCGGAAACGGCGGTAAAATCTCAAGCCGGGGGGCACACGCCGGGGCTTCCTGCTTTCCAGCCCCAGTGCAAGGCTCTGCAGCGCTCTGATCCCTAAGCCGACCCGGGGTCCAGGAGCAGGTTATTGGGTTTGGGTGACATCAGCTGCTAATAATCCCCGGAGCTGTTCTGACAGCGAGGGGCACTCCAGTCCAAAGGTGTCCGGCCAGGCCCGCTTGAAAGGTGTCGGTGGAGACACGGCAGCGCCGGGCGGGGGTCTCCCGTTGGCGGATTTCAGCCCCCTCCCCGCGAGGCGACGCTGGGTGGAGGGAAGAATTCGTCCCTCCACCTCGCGCTGCTGCACTGGGGTGTAGGCTGGTTCACGACATCGCTCCCGCGTGTGGATTGCGCAGCCCCGTCTGTGTTCACACGAGATCTCTG